ATGGCCCTCTGAAGCTGCAGGGAGCTAACTATAAACTGGAGAACACTGTGTGTTCTTCTATCAGAGGTGCTGTCTTGTAGCTGACCTTGGATTGTGATATTATTGAAAAAAAACTTCTCTTTGGGGGACAAATGAAGTATTACATTAAGTTGATACTTTCCCTACAGTCAGTAGTTCGGACTGACCTTCTTCAGTGAGGGAAACCTCTCCGGTGATGGAGTCGATGAAGAACATTTGACTGGAGGGAATCCTGGGTGTCTGTTCCAAGAGGCTGAACCGCAGCTCAGCGTGGGCAGTGTTGGGGTCATCCCGATCCAGAGCCCCCACCTGCATGAATGGGATCCCTGAGAGACAGAGGTGGTGCAGTCACAAATGTTGCCTTCTCTATGACAGACAAACTCTCCCCACATTTACTTTCTCAGTTCATACAGAAAAGGATAGAACATGGGCTGTACCAATCAGGATGCACAACACCAAAGACATATAAGCATTCGATGTATGAGGGTTTTTTTATATATATTTAAATGCCTGTTTAGCACAAAAGACCACATGACACAATAATATCGTCAACCATTATCAAATAGTATGAGAGCTGGTTTCACAATTGTTTTAAGTGATAAGTAGTACGTAAAAACATGTTAAAACTAGAACAGTAGTTTAGCAGTTTATCTTCAAGTGAGATGATATTTCTTTTGACAAAACTAAATCACACATAGAATGAGCTACAAAAGATTTTTTGTTGGGGGTTTATGTTTTACTGATAATGGTTTCATTGTCCATCTCTTCAGAAAAACAGGACTTAAATTTGGAAGTACATTTGGGGTGTTGTACCTAAGCTGTGTGACAATCTGCAGAAAAGTCTTTTTTAGTGTGTTCAAAACACAACTGATCCAGCTTGCCACATTAAAAATTCAATTACTACTGCGTTTAAGGGTAAATTACAGTTTCCATGAATACATTAGGCATGTTTTCCACTGTTTAGGCAAAACTGAAAGAGTTTTTGAATTCCCTGTAGCATGACTGACAAATGTGAACCAGACTAAAGAAAATGTGCAACACGGTAACATCAGAGCTCATGGCCATGGTACCTTTGAGAAGTCCGAGCTGCACGCTGCCCCTCATGCTTTCCTCTATGAAAGTCGGCACATTGTCGTTCTTGTCAATAACACACACTTCGACGGTGAAGCTCTGGCGGTGCACTGATGTTCTGAAGGACACCTGCAGTGCATACACAAACACTCTCTGTAAGTATCTTTGAAAAACACACTCTGGAATCAGCATGCAGCCTTCACATGAGAATCTAATGAGAATCTAAAGAGTGATTTATTCTTAGGATAAAAAAAGATACAAAAAACAAATTATATTTGTTACGTGAATTTGACGCATTGTTAATTAATTAATTTCTTTGAACTATTCATTAGCTAAGATATGTATGGAAAATTGCTATCACTACTATGATATGATATGACACTATAAGATATGCTACCTGCAGAGAGTAAGATGGCTGTTTCTCTCTGTCCAGTGGTTTTAGAGCATACAGAAACTGAGCGTCGACTCCAAATATCCCCTCATCATCCCCTGTTACCACCAGGTCACTATAATTACCTGGCAGGCTATGGAGCTGTACATGACAGAACAAGAGTCATGAAACATCAGTGAGCGTTCCTGTTTAAAAGCAAGACATCTGCACAAACAATAACATTTAGGAGGACCGGACAGACAGGTTAGTTAGTGCAGTCATCAGTGATTTCATTTTAACCTATATTTAAACAGAAAGTCCACTTGAGAGAGAAACAAGTACTTAAAATACTGACAAATTACAGTAAATAAAGCATGACTGAAACATCAAATGAAGGGGAGGTGAGTAACACATGATGTTTTTGGTACAATTTGCTCAAAAGGTGAAAATACAAGCTAGAGTGTTTCACATTTTGCGTTAGTAATATCTATTTTTTGGTTTTCTGGCAAAAAGTCACATTTAACATGAAACTGTCACTCAGAGTGGTAAAATGTTGACTAAGCTACACAATAATACAGCCCCCACACTAGCTGCAGCGTCACTTGCCCCGCATGGCCTTGATGGATAAGTCTGGTGATATTTTATATATTTCTTACTATCAGTGAATCCTGTGAAAAGACCAAAACCAACAACAAAATGATCCTATTAACACATATTGTGTGTTCCCAAAGCCTTACATAGCCTGTTCCTGTGGGCCATTATAGACCTCTATTGTTATCTAAAACTATTAAAAACACATCAGTGAGCCGCACCATTGCGCAGGATGACCTGTTCCCTAATTACCATGAACATGGCCACTGTAGCTTATTTTGAGTCAGTTCCACATACACCATTCTGCTGCTTTAAACACTGGCTACTGCACTAAATCTGTATTAATCCTCAACTGAAAGTTACACTATTCACTGCTGTTTGAATAACGTTTGTTAAACACTACAGTGCCCAGCTGTTGACTGAAATTACTGATCTGGTTATAAATTAAACTATATAGTTGTTAAAGGACTGCCTTTTTACCTACATAACACTGCAAAAATCAGGCACATTCAGTCTCAAAATGATTCTTAGGCTCAGGTGAGCCCCAAACCATCCCTCAGTTATACTGCAATAGGCCTAGACTGCTGGGAGACGTCCCAGCAGTGAGCTCCTCTCTCCTCTTCTCCCTCTCCACCTGGATGCATTCTCATCTCATAAATGCATGTTACTTACCACTACAATTAGTTTACATCTCTATGTCGAACTTGCATTGTGATACTATTTGTTCTCGTTCCTTCTGCTCACCCCCACCACCTCCCACATATTTTCTTTTAAATGCTGCCAGCATCCTGCCATTCCACTTGTCTGTTGACCAAATTATCATTATAACAATTCTACAACTTTGTAATACTTTGCAGGAAGGCTCAGTTGAGATAAGTATACACAAGGCTCAGATGTCTTGAAATCCCTAAATGAAGGTCCTCTTAAAGCAAAAAGCAAATGTCAAACCAAATGTGTTGGGGCCTGTCAATCACAGTAAGCAAGATGATTAAAAACATTTTGTACTGTGTAAGGTTTACAAAATTGATCATTCAAAGAGTTAAAATAGAATAGCTGATGAGTATAGCCCTCTCTGATGAACAGATTTTCACGAAGAGCTTTTACCTTGAATAAATCTGGAGCAAGTATTATGTCCATTCCATTATACTATAATACAAAGTGGGATTATCCATCCAACATGCTATTTGAAGAGTGGTAATGACACTCAGGACGACACAAAGACTAAAAATATTACTATGTGTCACACAAGATGTGATGACGCCACATCACAACCAATTAAAAAGGATGTCTGAGTGATATGTATCAACAAAACCGCGCCTGACACCCAGCTGGACTGAATGCAGAGGCTGGGTCTGATGCCTGAAAAGCATTGTGAACGCTCCAATTATAGTCTAGTGATGACGGCAGCATGTTCATACATCTTCAACCTTCATCTTCAAGTGCATATGGGAGAGAAAAAAGAGACTGATGCAATTCTGGCTTACAATCTACCTTCACCTTCTGCCTAAAGAGCAATGTTGTTTTTTTCACCACATTCCTCAGAACTAAACGTTCAACTGGCTCAAGACACTGGCAGATGTTTTCATTTACCTGGTTTAATCTAGTTATTCAACTTATTCGACTCCTCAGTGAACTTTGCATTAAATCTAATTAAATACTAAAAGCATCTCAAATATACTATCCTAATATATTTATGAATATGACATACTGTATGAGAATAAAAACTTCTACTCAGTATTGCATGCTTTTGCTGATTTTCTACTTGTATGTATTATGCTCTAGTCACCATGGTAATATTTGGAAAATGGTCAGATGGGAAATTTATAAGAATTAAACATATCATTTCATAACAGAAAGCTATGAGCACAAGAAGAACATTCGTTTGGTAAATTCATGTAAATTGAAATGCCTTACCTTGGCTAGATACCAGGGGAAAATACCATCGTAGTTTTCAGGGACACCAATTTTAACACTTGCCCCAGAGCATGGTGCAAATGTGTGTAAAAGTATCACCAACTGCGGAACAAAATGTGTCTTAGTGACATTGTTGATGCAGTAATATGCTAAATTAACAATGTTACAACAACAAATAAATAAAAGAGAAATTTAAAAAATGGCAACATCTTACTGTGAGAGCTATGATGAGCATTGGCGTAGCTCCTCTGTCAGCCATGAGTCCCTGTAAATGTGGCATGTTCACAGCATTTCAAACCGCATGGCTTCAGGCCAAAAATCAACACAAATTCTTACATACACACAGATTTCACAGTTTTTACATGTCCGACAGCCTGAATTTAAATGCATAACTACCTACAAAGCCAGTTAAAACAACATCAGAGCCTCCACTATAGTCAGTAGCACAGAAGACAAATAAAGCCGAGCTTGATATGGAGGTTAAACCTTTGCCTGTTAAAATCAAGTTGGGTACAAAGATTATGTCATTTCCTTGTTGCCTTAACGTCTTTTAAATATCTATTAGATAGCTGCTTTGTTGGCAATAGCAGAACACATGTTATGCTGCAGTGTTCAACTAAGCCTCTAAAGTATAAGAACAAGCTTTGCATTTACTCAACCACTGCACATAACGACGATTAAAAAGACAAAAAAGTGCAACCACTTAAGTAGCACAACATACGAAATTGTCCTCAAATTGTAAACAAGACGTTTTGTATCTTACCTTCTCCAAACAACGCATGTATTCCTCTTGAGACCTGTGAGAGGTGTTTAAATTGGGTGGAAAAATTGCATACTTGTACTCCTTTGGATTAATGGTTAACACCTTCAGATAAACATGCTTAACTACCTTGTTTCCTTCCTGTAAAACCAATGGCCAGTGAGGCTTCATTCCACCGATACGATCAAATGAATATTCATGAGAATGTAAATCCCCAAAACAACATTGACTTACTTTCTGTTGCAGAAACAGAAAAGAAAACAGAAACAGAAAATCTTTTATGTTTTGATTTTATATTTTATTGAAAAAGGAAATCAACGTAAACAAAGAATTTCCAAATAATGTCAAGTTTCACAACACTAAAATAACTTATTGCTTAACTCATACATTCACAACCTGAATTCAATGTTATGGAACAACACAGAAAGATTCCCCTTCTCTTTGACTAGTCCTTAGTAACTTGGCCAAGGCACGAACCTGCGTACCACGTTTCAAGTAAATATAACTCTGGATTACCTAGTATTGTGATCCTTTACCATGTCTTTTAGGATAATGAGATGTATGTTGCATTCAGCATCATTCAAGTTATAGTATATACATCAATCCCCTCCACTAAAGGAGCACAACAATAACCCAACAGCAAGGCAATTTTTGCAACTCATTAGAAATAACAAGCCTTTGTGGATTTATCATACATACTGATCATGTTATGACAGCAACATGTTTAAGGCAAACAAACAAACAAAATGAAATAAAATAAATGTTTGCGAAGCTTCATGCAGGTTATCACCATCATGATATGACTTGAATAATGTCAGTCGTTCTTTTTACTAATTAAGTCCTCTCTTTGCTTTTGGTTGGTGTCTAAAAAATAAAAATATAGGTCTGTACAGCTCTATTAGTCCTTTAGGGTTAGTGTTAAAACACACACAGCTTCTGGTCTTCAGAGGCCAAAGGAAAAAAATGTCCATCTGTCCCATCTTTTCCTCAGAGAACTGTTAGGTCATGGCAGGACTTTGACTTCTGCCTGAATGCCATCTTCTTGTTCTTGCGTGCAACCATGCGGCCCAGAAACCGTTTGGCCTTCTTGCCAATGCTCTCTCTACGCCTGCAGTTGGCCATGCGTCGCGCGTTCTCCTCCTTGCTGTCTTTCCTCAAGCGGATCTGTCTGACGATGCCCTCGAATAGATCCTGCACATTGTGGTGAAGGGATGCTGATGTCTCAATGAACTTGCAGTCAAATACCACTGCACAGGCACTCCCCTCTGCAATAGAGTACATATGGAGGAAGGAAAGTTAGTACTTTGAGTAGATGCGCATTATGAAAACATTAAAGTAGAAGCTCAAGTAGATTGAGGCTGAAAACTGAAAATAGTGACCCTAGATAGAATAAATTAGCCCTATTTCATAGTAGTTTTAAAACTCTGGCAGATAGCTTTAGTTTGCAGTGGTATTTGAAAGTAGACCTGAACCTGAGCAGTTAAGTGAGAAATGTGGCCTGATCCCACAAAAGCCGGTCAAACCCAACCTGTTCTGTCAGATTTGATCATGAAAAAACTCAAATGATTAATATTAGATATTTTTAAAGTAACCAAACTTCATAACCTATCTACCCTAAGCTTAAAACTTATATTAGCTTAACACATAATGCAAAGTTAGTTCTTCGTGTTGACTTACCATCTACAGACACTTCTCTGGACCGCACCAGGTCACTCTTGTTGCCCACAAGGATTATGGGAATGTTCTCTGACTGCCTGGCCCGACGCAACTGAATACGCAGCTCTGATGCCTTCTCAAAGCTTGATTTGTCTGTCACTGAATACACAATGATGTAGGCATCTCCCATCCTCATGCACTGTTCCTTCAGCCACTGGCTGTTATCCTTTAAGAAAGAAACAGATCCCAAGTTTAGTATCATACATGGCTGATCCCACCTTTTACTATGAATCAATGTAAGTGAACAAATGTTGCAAACATAAAATATAACTCACCTGTTCCCAGATGTCATACAACACAATGGATGACTCTTCTTCATCCACTACCACAGATCTGTCATAAGTGTTTCCTGAGGGGGAAAAAAGAAATATACTGTTACACACTGACAGAGAGCAGCAAAGCATCTCTTATCTGGTGTGTTTGTTGTCAGTGTGTGTTGTTGCTTTCCTTCACACTGATTTAAGCACATTTTTTTTCTTTTGTAGTCTACACACTGATCACAGCGTGTGATCAAGCCATCACTGGCCTTTTATATTTCCCCTTCACATTACACTATTGGATATGTTTCTGACAGCCGCACAACTGAGGGCAGGGCTGGTGCCTCGCTGTAGATGGAAATAGCAATAATCAATGCATGTACACCCTTGTGTGCAAAAATAAGAATGCAGTTTGTTTTTAATCCATCGACTAAACTTTCTAGGTTCTTTATTGTCCCACTGTGGGGATATATGTTAATTTTATCAATATTCTCATGCATAGTTCTGACTAAGAGAGCTCATAAGGCTTCATGTCGCTTTTGTTTAAGTCTAACATCTTCATTATTTTTAAAATGTGAATGGGGTTTCTTTTTAAAGGTTAAGGTTAGGATCATTCAAAAAGAAGAAATTGGCCTCCAAAGTTTGGATGCTTAATATCTTAGAACTGCACTTCATTCATTGAATCTTGCCTCTCCAGAGCATAAGTTCCTATAGTTGTATTGTTCAGAATTAAGACAATGGACACCTTTAGTGTATGTGTATGCTTTAGTGTGTGTGTGTGTGTGTGTGTGTGTGTGTGTGGGTTGCTGGGGTTGATGACTCATCCTCAGCATTATCATTTACCTGTTTCATCGCAATCGTGACCAGCATCCTCAACACCTCCAAAGACGCGCGCTAGGCTGGACTTGCCGACACCGTGCTCGCCGAGGAGAACCACCTTGTAAACCTGGGACTCCGCTTCGCTGCCGGTGGAGATGACAGAATCGGAGGAGTCCGACGCGCAGCTGCCTCGGTGCTGCTCTTTCGGCGAGTAGGACGTGCAGCGCAGGAGGTTGGACAGCTCGTCGGTTTGCCCTGTCTGTGGCATCGTGGCGCGCAGGTCCCGGTCGTCCACGGGCATGCTTCTCCGGTGTAGGTTTGGTACATTCATGGGGAACGGCATGCTCCCTCTTCTCTTCTCCATGTTCCGCAATTTGTCACCCTTGTTCAATGTCATTGTGCTTAAACCGAGAGTCTGTGGATAGAAGTGACATGCGTAAATGTGTGCTCTTATGTTTGATCACATTTGAACAGGCCTAAAACAAAAGTGTAAAGTCTGTATAGGGATGCAGTGGAGGTTAACGCCACAATTCAACACATACGTTTGTCTGTTGATTTTATAGGCTAATTAAGCAAACATTAAATCAAATAAAAACGCAAAACAACCCTAAAAATTAAAATGTCCGATTAGTAGACAAATAAAGACACTTACTCAGTGCTGGCAATTAAATCCAATGAAGGCAATCCAATAATCCTTGGTTTGAAGAGTTGTTGCAGCCTGAAAAAGCGGTTTTGCTCGAGTATAATCAGAGTCTCTGCTCTGCCTACTTATAAGGGGACTCGGAGTGACGTCGGCAGGGATTCGCCCCAGAGAATCACGTCTCCGCTTATAATAGTGGTGCGTAACGGTAACATCATACAGAGGAGGGGGTGTATGACTAGAGCTGAGGAATCTCCCTTCCGTATCGCCAAATGGAGAGTTTACCTCTGAGGGGGCGGCCAGAGATGAATCCTTGAAGAGGGAAAGCCCACTTAAAGCCAGAGTGATATCCATATTTTAAATTAATTTATAGCCTACATTTGGAGATGGTGGAAGTATATCCACATGATGCGAGATGGTAATGTGTATTGGGCGCATAAATTGTACAGACCTTATGAATGCTATAATGGAAATGTTTTCGCTTGCCTTGCTTAAATTGTCAGTTTTGAGCCTGGCCACTGCAAGGTGGAGGTCATGGTTACAATTACACACTATGGGAATGTCATTTTAATGTGAGGGAGTTCACATTATACATGCATATGGGTATATGGGCAAACTTGAATGCATTAGGCCTATAAAATGCGAAATATTTGGTAATTGGCTCCGTCTGTGGCGGCTCTATGGACTGCCGTCGCACTATGCAGAAAATAAATACTTGTGTGTGTCAGTGAAAATGCCATTAACACGAAAAATACCAAGGTGGGATTCCTTTATCAGGCATTGCTTTCCACACACCCACTTACGGACTGAAAAAAATGAAGGCTGCACCCACAGAACCATCGTGCCTTGCATTTGCAGTTGTAATTCTTCACAGCAGACAGGCCGGACCTATGCCAATAATAATGTTTGGCTTTACTGACCCATGCCCTAATAATGCCAAATGGATTCATTTTAACGATGCTATCTTTGCTAAATAACACATTAATAATGGCACTTAATGGAGCGCAAGTGACTTTGAGTCAGTTTTCTCTATTTTACTTCTGCCTGCGTTTTTATGTTTAATCTTGCATTTTTTTGGCACACAATGTAACCACTTTGAACGCTACAGTGCTGTGCTCCATAGACAGAATTAAATTTTCCAGTTTCCATGGTATGTTGCTGCCCCCTTGTGGCTTTGGGTCTTGTATTACAGTTGAACCTTTTGAAATCATAGGTACAGTATGTGTCCAATATTGTAATGTGTGTTCTGCCTTGTCAAAAAATCATTGTGATAGGGGTATTAGTGCAATTGGTGTTTGCATTCTTTTCTAAATCTACTTATCACAGTTAATATTTACCTCAGACGCTCTTATAGGATTTGTTTTCTTTACCAAATCAACCTCACAGAGTTCACTTACTATTTATCCAGTGTTTAAGGATTTCTTGGCCTTTAGAGATAAGGCATTTTGTTATATTCTGTCTTGGACTTACTTGAATTTATTAGAATATAACACGTTTCCCGTGATGATATGACTGTGTGCATTTTATTTTATTCTGTATTTGGATAGCTTCCACTTACTGTTGTTTCTGTGATCAACATATTAATTCAGATCTGTATCGACCCATCAAATTAAAGGTGTGGACAGGGTGCTCTCGTTGTTTGGTAACAGCTTGAAGCAATACTACTAATAATAATAATTGTGACCACACACTTTCAGCCCAGGTTAGATCAGATTTTGCTCAAACATCACTTTATTTAGGTAATATATATATAATATATATACCACAGATCATAAATGTTTGTATAAAATGTACTTGACAATAGGCTCATATGAAAAAAAATATCTTATGAGCCTATTCATTGTTTATAGTCTACTGATCAACTGATCAACTCGACGATGCAAAATCTGTGTTGCCATCTTTGGTGTATCATTTGTAGGCCTATATAAAATAAAATGTGTAAGTGGTCCATACACAGAGGGTATGGTATGCTGTACAGAGTGTAAAGCCCCTTGAAGCAAATTTGACTTGTGATATTGCTCTATATAAATAAAAACTGACATTTAGATAAAGTAAAAAAGTACTCATTCTGCAGCTGTAAATGATTCTATCCTATCCGATATTGGATTTTTGAGGCTGATACTGATATCAATATTTGGGAGTTGAAAAAGAATTTAGAGATTATAGATAGACGAAACTGACAGAAGGGCAGGACTTGTCGCAATTACAAATCCGTCTGCTACTTCAGCACCATGGACAGCACTTTGGGTTTATCAATACACAGCAAAGTTAGTTACTGAGATTTTAGGGCCATGGTGGGGGCCACAGATTCTCATCTGTCAGATAAAGAATCAATGAGCCGCCCAGGCAGACTAGACTAACATTTTAAACTAAACAACCCCTCCAGGGGTTGTTGACATGGCAAACAGAATTGAAAAATACAATAGGCAAACTTTCCTAGTTATGAAAAAATGCCATTCATTATAAACAGGTTGCCTTTTCAATAATAATTCAAGTTAGTCAGTTGTGTGTGTGTGTGTGTGTGTGTGTGTGTCACATATTCAGATCCTTTACTTAAAAAAAAGTACTTGTACCACATTGTTAAAATACTGTTACAGCTCTGCATTTAAAACTGTTACTAAAGTAAAAGTATGTATAATCAGGAAAATGTACTTAAAGTATTAAAGGTAAAAGTAAGCTACTCACTGCAATAAGAAAAATGTCCTTTGACTGTTACTACTACTTAATACTATTATATATTAGATAATTATTATTACTCGTAAATTAATGGTTTTCATGTTGTAATTGTTGAAGGGAGCTCTTTTAAACCATTTGTTTTGGAGGGCAACTAATTACTTATTATTAATGGATTAATCTGCTGATTATTTTCTCCATTAATTGATTTTTTGAAATTCTGAAAATGGTAAGAAATGCTGTAACAATTACTCAGAGCCCAAAGGGACACTTTCACAATGCTTGCTTTGTCTAACCAACCAAAATCATTACAAACAAATTAAAATAATTTAAAGCAAAACAGCAAATCTTCACACTTGTGAAGGTGGAACTACCATGCAATGTTTTTACAAGAAAAAGGTCTTAAACGCCATTTAATTTCAATGTCAATCTAATAATTGTGTCAGCTGTACTTGAATAAAATGTTGGGTTGTTCAGAAACACATTTTATTATGTCTTCATATGTTTTGCGTGTAAAAATCTTAATTTGTAAAGTAATTAGTAACTAATAAAGCTGTCAGATAAATGTAGTGAAGTAAAAAGTATATAATACTGCCCCCTGAGATATAGTGGAGCAGAGGTAGAAAGTGGCATGAAAAGTACCTCATTTGTACTTAAGTAGCAACAGTACATGAGTAAATGTACTTAATTACTGTCTACTACCGATTACTGTATGAGGGTGTATATAGGCCTACATTAAATTTGTTCAAATGGTCTCTAGGGGGTGTTAAAGAACATTTTTGTGTAAATCTGGAAGTGAACAATGTATTTCCTTTACAGGCAGTGATCGAGTTGGTTCCAGTCAACTTTTCTGTGCACTTAGGACTGTCCTAGTTGAAATTTCACTGTGGAGGCCTTTCAACATGCTGGACTGGCCTGTTGGTCCATATAATACATAATACATCCATCATCTGGACCGTGTGGTTGTAGCTCCATCAGGAAACCGGAAGTCAACCCTTTTACATGATATTACGCATGCGCGTGCTCTCCCGTGTCTTCGACCTCTACTACAAACCGGTGAGAGCTAACCTCCTCTGCCACAAACTGTGTTTGAGTTTGATGTAATAGTGCTGCTTTTGTGTAACTCGGTGTCTTTGTAGCCCTGTGGACCGCAGAACTGCTCAGTTTTTCTGATTTGCCAACGAGTTTGTTTTTGGCGACATTGTTCGGTTTGCAGCTGATCTTGACCTTAACTTACTTGTGTGTGTCCACTTAACGTTAACTTTGCCCTTTCCTATTTAGCAAACTAGTTACAGAGTCATCCCAGATATTCATTTTCGTGTTTAATGTCTTTCTGTCTCCAGATCACGGTCACTGAATCAACGCCAACACCTTTGGCTGACCTGACCACTACGTCCCTTCGTGATGTATGCCTGTGCTAAGTTCGTCTCCACGCCCTCTCTGGTGAGTCTGCGTGAATGAATGGAGGTAACAAGTGACTTTGCCGGTGTGCTTACTCGTGCTTGTTGTGATCATGATAGTTTGCAAAAAAAACTGCTAGTCTGTTCAGTGCTTAGCCTGCTAACGCTGCGTGTTTGACCCTCTGCTAAAGTCCGCTAGCTTAAAGTGTTCACACCTGCAAGGGCGTCCTAGCTTTGAGTTTATCAGGACAAAAGTCAGCCTATACACTGTATCCCAGTGTGAGACAGTTTATTCACCTTTTGATGCAAATATTTGATTCGAAGCTTATTCTATACTCCATATTTATATACAAATTTATAACGTTTTTCAACAGTTTTGTAATTGTTTTTGTCCTGCATATTGCTCTACGTGTTTGTACTGTTTTGTATCTTGGTTGTACTCTTGCACCGTGTGTCTTCATGTTGCCTCCTTCACACTGAATGTTGCATTGTTTCACGTTTCGACCAAAAGTACCGGGGACTTTTAATTCTCTGGATCTCTTTTCAAGGAACTAAAAGGTTCCTTCAGCCCACTGTTGTGTGCGTTTCCACCGTGGTCTAAAGACCTGCGAAGATTAGGCAAATTAACCAGCTGACATAGGCTGTAGCCAGGATGCACAGGCATCATTATTTGTAACCACTGTCCATGAGCAACATTTATAAATAAACATCAGATTTAATTGGAATATAATGGAAAGCTATAGGCTATGCTTGACCATTAAAGCAGCTTGCAGCAGTGTGGGAGTAGAGTGGAGAGACACATGATAAAGTTTGTTACAAATTTAATAACAAACTGGATAAAACCATAAAGTTCTTAAAATAATTCCAGCACAGAGAAAGAAACACACAAAAAAAATTGCGATAGTTTGGAAAGTTATTACAAGCTATTGCAACATTTCCAGCCAACAAGAGCTGCAGATCACCTGGCCAGACTCATGTCTATGTCCACCTGATCTTCACAGGAACATGATTTTAAGAGCTTTAATACCTACACACTAAAAACTCCTGGGTTAAAAAGGGACCAGCTAATTTCTGGGTTATTTCAACCCAGAAAACTGGGTTATTCTTTTTGACCCAACTCCTGGGTTAAAAACCTGACCCAAATGTTGGGTTAATAAAAACCAACATTGTAGTTAATATGACTCAACTTCTGGGTCAAACAACCATTTGGAGTATATGCATGGTTTTGGGCTTCTCTGAAAGATAACACTCTGGGGTGATTGTAAGTGCTACTGGAATTGATTTAATATAAGTTTAAACACACTAAAACTAATATATTTCATTTCTGCTTGAAAATGCTTGCTAACAAATGCATGCAGACAACTGTAGCTGGGACTTATTAGCTGTAGGACCATGGCATAAAGACTTACCTAGACCAAGTTTAAATTTCAAACCAATACCATGAAAAATTACTATTTTACAGAGGTTTGTCTTAGCATATTTTTTTCTAAAACACGCCGTAGCTTACCGCAGATGTGTTTTTTTTTGCTGGTAGATCATAAACTTCCTACTTAAAGCTGGATATCGTTATTTTCAGAATTTTATTGGCTACACGAAGTGCCAGTCATTGGCACAATTGCTTACAATTGGCTCGGCCTACCCACGAAATAATAGAGGCTGGCCCTTCCTTACAGCATGGGCTCTCGTTGGCTATTGTTATAGGCTGTGAGAGGGACATGTGAGCTCCTGTTGGGTTTGATTTGGTGTCACTCGAAAGGTTAGAGTTCAGCGGCTAATTTGAATACAAGCTATCGTAGTTGACGTTATTACAGTTATAATGACACGAGCCACGTCTGCTAGCAAATATGAAATGATGTGGCAGCAGTCCCTGGGGATTTATTGATGGAATAATGTGTTTTGTACTAAATATTTTTACTGGATTGGATCATCTGGACCTTTGACAACGTAACAAGACCATTTTTGTTGAAATATAATCGATCGGTACATTATTATGAGGCTTCATACGTGAGTCTCATCAATTTTGCTTGTACTAGTTGGCTGATTGTACCCACTGTGGTGATTGTATCCTGAAATGGTTTGCATTGGTCGAATCACGAGGATTTTATCACATGAGTATGAAGTTAACATAGCAGTTGTGTGCACATACCGAAAGCTGCCACCAGTTGGGATGTTAAAAGGTTAAACCCTATAATGGGTCACTGTTGGTGTTGTCACTGCTGGCTTTTATCTATAGTTTACCATATTTACTGCAAGCCGAATGTCACTGTGGATGAAACCACATGCTTTTGATGCTGTCTTAAGCAGAGCAGGTGTATTCTGAGCAAATTTTAAAGCTATACAGACAGATGTCAGTAGAACTTGCTGGTAAAGCATCTTATCAGAGCACAACCGTCTCAACTAAATATCTTCTTTTATCTCCTTGATACAGGTCCGTGCTGGATCTCGGGCTCTGTACAGACCACTCTCTGCAGCAGTAGTCTCAGATGCCAGGAAAGCAGAGGTAAGCAGCTATCTGTACTGGGAATTGTAACGGATTTATTGACTTTGAGTGTTCACACAAAATAGGCACTCTGAAGCCACCACAGCTACATTAATCTTCTTTGCTATTCTCATACAAATAAAAACCCATGTACATTTCACACAATGCAAGGTTATTTAACACTACTATAGTAGGTATTTTTGAAACTTCCTAACATATGTTCAGTAAAATTTAAAATTGGGATTTGATTTTTTTTTTTTTTTTTTTTATCTCACCCATACCTATTAAAGTACTGAAGAAACCAAGCCCATGGCTGCATATTATAACAATGTTTAATGTAGCTGCATGTCAGGTTTTCATGTCAAGTACAAAAGCAGACTGCTAAGATTAGAAGCTGAATAGCATGCCTTGCATTAAACAGTTACTATTGAGGAGTACCGCTGAATGTCTGTAGATTAGATAGCTAGCTAGCCTATGTGGCTAACATTAGCTGCACATAGGTTGGTACCGTTATAAAAAATGCAATGCCAATTCTGCATCAGCATTGAAGTTTACCTTTCAAAAGCTGCACAAATGTTCACTTAAGCATTTGGAGAACTGTCATTAAGTACATAGCGGGGATAGATTTGGGGGAGGTTTGGCTTTAGCATGAACTTTATAGGTATATTAAGTATTCTAGATACATGCATAGAGCGGACCTGACTTGCATGTTTGAAGGTAAAACCTCTGCAGCCAAACCTTGAGCACCAACACTTGCAAACCCCTGCTGATGGTTTATGGTTATTTTATTCAAAGATGAGTTATTCAAATTATGATTATATCTTTAATATCAATGATCGTATAAGATGGCTAAACTGGTCATTTTTATTGACTGTCCACCAAAATAGGTGATTTTAGTGGACCATTATGTGCCAGATACATAGAATGCTCGATATTTTACATTGCATATCAGTTAAGGGATCTAATCAAAACTAGAATTAAATATTTCTATGTGTAAAATGTTGAGTGCCACTTTGTGATCCTGTACTGATTTTGTTTTGTACTAATCTTACTTCATTTTTTGTATTTCAGACTGCTTCCCACCTGGCACCACAGAGTATTGTAGCCTCCCAGCAGCAGGTGGCAGTGCGGGGATTCCAGACCAGTGCTGTGAGCCGGGACATCGACACTGCTGCAAAGTTCATTGGAGCAGGAGCTGCCACTGTGGGAGTGGCTGGATCTGGAGCTGGAATTGGAACGGTGTTCGGTAGCCTTATTATTGGATATGCCAGGTAAATTAAATACATCATGTCATTTTAAAACATTTTTTTACATCTCCACCAAGGAGGGAATCCTGCACTTGTCTATCAGCAATGTCATAAAAAACACCAACAAAAAAAAAATATATAAATATAAATAAATATATATATATATATATATATATATATATATATATATATATATATATATATATATATATATATATATATATATATATATATATATATATATATATATATATAAATAATAAAATAAATAAATAATATATGAAAAATTAGTTTGGGAAAAGAACAATTAATTAACTTTTAGTGGTTCTTCTTTATATGTGAGATTTCTGCTGTTAGATGGTTGCAGTTAGATAGTAGTATTAGCAATAACTATGAAACCAATTCAAAGTATTTACATGGTTAAGAAATTTACTTAATTTAAGTAAAGGGTATGATGTCTTTGGATGTAAAAAACAAACAAACAGTATTTTCAAGGGTTTGTGCTGCCTCAATGCCTTCTAGTTATTGATATAATTATTTCCTCACATGTATTAAGTCTGCTGACTGAAATATCTTGGCAGTTGTACTTTTAACACCGTGTACCTCCAATTTGTCTCAGCTGCCTCTCTTTCTCAACAGGAACCCTTCTCTGAAGCAGCAGCTGTTCTCTTACGCGATTTTGGGCTTTGCTCTGTCTGAAGCTATGGGTCTTTTCTGTCTGATGGTTGCATTCCTTATTCTGTTTGCCATGTAAACCAGTTAAGCATTTGCTCTAAAGTGATACATTACAATGTTAACAAGAATTAGCAGTTTGAGATGCCCTTGAATGGTACGATGATTTCATCTTATCGTGTTGCTTATTCTTGTTCATTGTGAACCCACATATGTATGAAACTCAGGCAAACCCAAAAATGTTTAATGATGGTTTTGCCATTATATTGTATATTTAATCAAATGTTTTTGTTAACAAACACGCAATCAGCAACAGAAGTAAAATGTTTAACATCTTAATTCCTCATGTGTCTTTGTACATTTGTTACAAGTTATGGGGTGGTTCTATCTACATACTGTACACCTCTTGCATGGAAGTTGCTATGTTGTGCCGCCAAGTTCCTACAGTAGCCCAAACAGACAAACTGCTTTACAGAGTGCGTTTCATCAATATGAAGAAGTACTAGGCCCAATCCCAATGTCCCCCCTAAACCCTAAGCCCTGAACCCTCACTGACTTTACTGACTCCACTTGGAAAGTGATTGAGTGCAAGAGGCTGCAGATTCGTTGGTTGCAATCCCTTACCACTAGATGCCACTAAAACCTACACACTGAACCTTTAATGTTAGATTAGCGTTTGCACTGGTTACCCAATCAGCTAATAATAATGAATTACATTAATATAGCGCTTTAGATACTCAAAGCACTTCACAGTGAAGTGGGGGGGGGATTCACCTCAACCACCACCAATGTGTAGCACTGCAGCCATTTAGCACCACAACGCTTACCACACATCGAGCCAATTACTACAGGGGATGATAAGAATTAGGAATTTTGCCAGGACACTGGGGAAACCCCTACTCTTTTGCGAGAAGTGCCATGGGATCTTTAATGACCACAGTGAGTCAGGACCTCGGTTTAACATCTCAGCCGAAGGACGGCAGCTGCTACAGCACAGTGTCCCCATCGCTGCACTGGGATCTTATTATTAGGACCAGAGGGATGACTACCCTCTACTGGCCCACCAACACCATTTCCAGGAGGTCTCCCATCCAGGTACTGGCCAAGCTCAAACCTGCTTAGCTTCAGTTAATCAGCAGTAGCAGAGTTTACATTGGTATGGTTGCCAGCAAGCAAGTGCCACAAGTTTGTAAACAGGGGGGTGTTAAAAAAAATCAGTGCGCCTGCTTACACATACGTGTGTTCAAGGTAACACCGTTCCACCCAAAGGTTTTGCGTTAAACTCAGCCCTGTTGTCCAGTGGGAACTGTAAAGTGTTTGCCCAGGACGAAACTAACGTGTAAGTCCACGATTTCTAGGGGACATTGTGAAATGTTGGTTTCGCCCTGGCCAAAGATTTTTATTATCTGGACAAAGTAGCTATCTGTGGGTTCAACAAATGAAAATGGTGAAAAACTAACTTTAACGTTTTAATTAAGGTTTGCGTAGGAATCCAATGCGACGGATAAGTTAACGTTACAGCGTTCTGTGGTCACAATTAAACATTTCTGCAGTGACATCACTTCTTTTTCCAGTCAGCTCCTTTAAAGTCTTTAAAGTAAAGTTTTATTATTGTATACAATAACCACCCTAATATCATCCCAATCCTGAGGCCGCGACGAAAAAGAAAGCAACAGTTTGTCAGGTGGAACTATAGAAACACAGAGTTTAGGGGAGGACGGATTTGATCAACGTACGTGCCTCAGGTACATCATCCTAGCATGGGTGTTCAATGAAAAACAGAACTTTTATATTCGGACATGTCTGTTAGGCGGTAAAAAGAACCGAATGTCTAAATACATGTTCTCAATACATCACTTTTGCAGTACGTGGAGGATAATTGCCTTAAAAACTCAAACGCGAACGCCGACATCTCTGTGGTGGTTGTGGTCGTGTAACTGTCATACGGGTCCCGAGGTTGTTTTACAACTGAACGAGCAAAAAGGAGTCCCCAATAACCAGGTAAGTAAATTAAATTACACTTGTTACAGCTTGTTTACTAATGCTCCATTTACAAGTATGAATCAGAAAATGTCCCTGGTAAAACTTACCTAAGTGTTGTCAGAGCTTCCTTTAAGGATGCGGCCTAAGTTCATGCCTCTCTACAGTTCAACATTAGTGTATGTTTGTAACAGGTAACAAAAAGGCACAAAAAAAAAAGATCTTCATGTCAACCAGTACTGGAAAGCTTTGACCGGCAGTACAGTCAGGAACTTGGAGATTTGTGGGCAAATGCAAGGTACATTTTTCCAGAAATAATTATTACAGCTTACACACAGATAACGTTTGTACCCTTTCTTCATTGCGATTATTTTTCTCCTGCAGAGCAGTGCTCCTGGACCCTCTTTCTTGGCAGTATGGGGTCATGATCAACAGCTTCAGCACTGTGACAGACATCACACAGATTCTCCACTCACAGGGCTTTTCCACATTACTGCCAGATGTCTCCATGTTGCATTGTAAAGGCCCATCAACAGTAGCACCTCACTACATCTCCAAGTGCCCTCCGAATGACTCCCATCTTCAACCTGACAGCACCTTTCATGCCCTCGATCAGGACCTTCAGTCAGAGCCTTCACTCAGTTTGCCCCGTCCTTCATTACAATGTTACATCCACACACTTCCACTGCGGTTTCCCTCTCAGGCTCACAGGCCTGGCCAGCTGAAGCAGTACTACCTCCTGAATGCTGCCTCCCTGCTTCCAGTGCTGGCTTTGCAAGTCAGAGATGGGGAGAAGGTTTTGGATCTTTGCTCTGCCCCTGGGGGAAAAGCTTTAGCCATGATGCAGTGTGCCACCCCAGGTAAAACAAGCACTTTTTAAATTAATTTTGCAAACTTTAATTTCTTTATATCATGCAAAGAGGTGTAAAATTCAATATTAAAGTTTATTTATCAATTCATAGTGAATATTATTGGCTATACTTAAACTAAAATCACAAATGAAATCATAACTTACTTTATTAGTAATGGGATAATAACGGCACACTAACACAACACTTTCTAAGATATGGGGTGTTTGACAACAAGAACTTTTCACAAAAATATTTTGTTGAAGCATGTTGCACTTTATTTTTAGAAGTAAAAAAAGCTTACTTTTCACAAGTTGCTCCTGTTGAATTTAAGTAATATTTTAGTCTTCTATTAATAGCCTGTTTGCATTAAATACTTGTAATTAGCAATTCTGCTAATGTTATGTTCCAGCTCTTCTCTGCTGTAATGAACCAGACCCTCACAGACGGGACTGGCTGGCCAAAACCCTGGAGTCTTTTCTGCCTTACTCATTGAACAGCAGAGTGATTGTGGCTGCACAGGATGGACGGTCTTTTGGGCAAAGTGCAGCAGGAACATATGACAAGGTGTGTGTGGGGGGGGGAGAGTGAGAGTGAGTGAGTCGTGTTTGTGGCCATGGTTAGAAATGAATGAGAACAGCAAGCCTTTGAACAGAAGCTAATAAGCCCAGCAGTAAAGAAGAAAACCGTCCTATTCAAAATAGGAGCCAAGAAGAGGCAGACAATTGGCTGGGAGGAATCAAAGGACTCAAAGTGACTGATAATGAAACAAAATAATGAAGAAAAGGTTGCGAGTAAGACACGCGAGTGAACAATGACTGAAAAGCAGTAGAGTGGTGCAAACAGTCTTCACAAATTTAAGCTGTATTATGGCAATGAAATGGCTTTGTAAAATTTGCATAAAAGACAGATTTGTCGGAAATATTCGCAGCTGAGGTGTAAAGTTCAGAGTTTGTTATACCTAATTTTTCTACACTGGGTAAAAAGGGGCAAATATGATTTGGGGGAGATTAATTTTTCACCCTGACTGATTATTTGTCCCTTGATGATAATTCAGGTGCTGCGAGAAAAATATAGCATACTTATTTTATAGACATGCTTTTACCTTCATTAATAACTCTTTACATATTCTTACTCATTCACTTTTCTTCTTTGACCCTTTCTGTCTCTCTCTGCCGTTACACTTTTGACCTCTCTGACTCAGACTCAGTACTATTCATATTTGTTGTTGTTTTTGTTGCAGGTTTTAGTCGACGCCCCATGTTCTAATGACAGGAGCTGGCTGTATTCTTGCAGCAGCCAGCAGGGGGAGCAGAGACTAAAGGAAAGAGCCAGGCTGCCTGCACTCCAGGCTCAACTGCTAAAGTAAGTCCTATCCCCAACCTAAATAAATGTCTGCAATATGTCCAAACATTGTGATTATGTGGAATTCCTAACAAAATTATAATATGATTTTGAGTCAGATGAGGAATTATAAAACTTTTGCCTGTGTTTTAAATGAGATATATATATATATATATATATATATATATATATATATATATATATGAGAGAGAGAATAATGTAAACACTATATGAAAAAAGGTCTTAAATCCGTCACAATTACAAATTATTAGTGAGGTCAATTTGCAGTTGAACCAGTCAAAAAATAGCAAAATTATTTAGTGTGCTGAGGGAGGAGAAACTTGACATATACAGTAGAAAAGGGGTGACAATGAGCATGAAACGTAATATTATCCAGCTTTATAGCAGTGTTTGAATTAGTAATTTAGTCCCTCTTCATTAAGTGCAGTATTTGTCTTCTCCCTGCAGGTCTGCACTGGCAGCAGTGCGTCCAGGGGGCGTTGTGGTCTATTCCACATGCACGCTGTCCAGCTCTGAGAACTACGCTGTGGTTGAGACAGTGCTCAATGACTGTCCTGAGGCTGAACCTGAAGACCTGTGGGAGGGGATTGCTGTTCCTTTATCAAAATACTTTGTATTTAGTCCTGCTCACCCTGATCATGGACAGACACTTCACAAGCCATCCCTACAACCACAGAATGGCACTGTGTCTTCTTATCACCACAGACTCGGCATTTTAGTGGTTCCTCAGCCCGGCAAGACCTGGGGACCTATGTTTTTGTCTCGTATTAGAAGAAGGAAATAGGGTGTATTCTCCAGCAGAGAAAAGATATGTGGAAACTAGGGCTGGGCACATTAATGCGTTATTATCGCGTTAACGCATTAATTAATGAATAATTATTTTATCACACGTTAACGCAGTTATTATTATTATTTTGAAAGTCCGTTTCTCACTAGCTCTGACTACACATACAGTCAAACAATGGGTCACAGGAGGAGTGGGATGTTGATCAGCCAATAAATCACCCAACCAAACACGCAGTGGAGGGAGGCTTCGGCAGACTACGTTGCATGCAGAGAAGTAGATAAACAAAAGCAAGACAAGCGATCAAATGCCATAGTGAAGTGGATAGCTACACACTGCATGCTGATTAGTATTGAGGAAGATGTTGGTCTTAGGAACGTTCTTAAAATCCCAACATAGTTACTTGGACCCGCAGGGTTGCTCTTTGCTCCGGTGATCAGACGGCGCTCCGCGAGGAAACAGCAGGCGCTCTATGGAGAGTAACCATGGCAACGTCTTCTGTGCGCTAAACAGCTGTAGCCTATTTAACTTTAATTTAACTAGGCTACGTAACTTTACCTGATAGGCCTTGCATCTAGTTTTGCGGGGATGCTCTGCCATGCGAATTCCCTCCTGTTGATGTCCTGATAACTGTGTAGTAGACAGTAATAGATTCTGGAAACAGCGAGGATTAGTCTCTCTTCCAATGATTTGTGCTCTGCCTCGGGTACACAAAGTTCAAGACAAATCAACAGAGGCGGCGGGCATATGCGTGAACTACTTCACCTCACTCTAACAGGGACACTTGCTACTGAACATACACTGTTTATGCTGCTCCCTTGAAAAAATGTTTCTGCTGGTACCTGTTCAGAAAAAAAAATAGATTTATAAATGTTAACCATGCGTGCATTAGCAGTGCATTTAAATTAAAAGTGCCCAATACACTACCTTAGAATTCATTATTCAATTTTGCGCATAACAATGCGATTAATCACTGAAAATCACATTCCCTTAGTATGATTTTTGTTAGCTGTGGTGTTTTTAAGGTGTCCTACCTTATGAAAGTACATAATGAAACTGACTTGTAACTCACTCACACAAACGGACAACCTTTCTAATTCACATTTAGTACACTGCCAACCTGTGACACTTATAGGGGATGAAAGTAGTAACAACAGCAGTAGTTCACACAGGCAGATTTATACATGTCATTGTTGCAACTTGTTGGCAAAGAAGGTCATAACTTGGAGTTGTAACACTTCGGCCACCTGCAAGACAATAAGTGTTTTAGCTGCAGTTTTTGCTGTTAAATGCAGCTGTTCTTTGTTTCTGTGGGTGTTGAATGAGATTTTACATTTAACACTTGTACCACCTATAACAAAATAAATATGGAACATTGCTCACAGCATTCACACTTAACCTCCAGTGAGAGACATTAGACAACTCACAGTTATTTAAAGGTTCTGTATATGAGATTCTGAACATTAATATCGCAACAAGCAACTATTTGCTATGTAATGATAGTAAAGAAGTGGATTAATGGCGTCCTGAGCAGAAAATGATGTCAGTCTCCCTCTGTGTGTGTTGTCACCCGAGTGTCTCTGTTCTTGTTTTTGATGGGAAGCTGTTGGGCTTTGAGGAGTGTGATACAACAGCTGATTGTTTTCTCATCTAACTCTGTGAATTAAGGGTTTATTTTGAACCAAACCAGAGTTGATGATTGTTTGAACAGTGGAAAGACGTACTAAGATAATCTCTCTAATACTGTAATGTTGCACTTTAAGTGGACATATGCTTGACTAGCGCATTTGTCCCCAAGGATTACTGCACCCATTGTAACCTGTTTCACATCTGCCAGCGATGGCATAGAACCAGAATATTACGAGGGTTTATTTCCACCAAACCAGAGTTGGTGTTTGTTGGAACTGTGGAAAGACTAACAAAGATGGTTTTGGTGAGTTTTATGTTCTTTCAATGGAATCTGGTGTCGATATACCAGCTTTTATTAGTTTGCTTTATGTCAATGTTGTGATCACAACTTTTCCAGGTTTGATTTTTTGATTTTAGCCTCTGCAATCAACCCCTTTTTCAGTCTTTGTTTATTTTTATTATTTAGAAGTCAGGCATTAATTTGCCTTTTTCCATCATTCTGTGAGCAAACATGTTCCGATTTTATGCTGCACACTGCATGAGTCTGCGAACAGCAGGGCACAGTGAAAGGAGTTACCTCGCTGAGAAGTTGGAGGTGTGCAGCCTGTCACCTGCAGCTCTAAATCAGGGAAATATTGCAAGGAGCAATAGAACCAGAAGGAGCAGCCACAGCATGGCATTACACTCTGCAATATTTCAAACTGATCCGTTGTCAAAAAATGCCTAAAATGTCTGTTGTTTTATAGACACATTTTTGGTGAATGATAGCGTTCAGTGCTAAGCTCACTGACAAATGCACTGCATATCCTGTGACTGCTTCATCATAAAAGTCAATTGCTGTCCGCCAATAATATACTTTTAATGTGAAGCTGAAGCAGTAGGAAATGTTGGTTCAGCAGTCATTTAATACAGCATTTTTCCGAGAATCTCGCCACCAACACCCATTTCGGGATACTTCAAATATATAAATATTCCAATACTTTCATGAGTGGGCCACTGTGTTACCTTATACTGGCAATGGGTAGTGACTTCACAGACATTGAAATGAAATGATCTTCGAGATTGTACTTTTAAGTGCTTAACACTGTGTACATGTTGTATAATAAAAATGATAATACTGTAAGACTGCAATGTTCTGCGATGTAAGATAGTAAGATTAAAAATTCATCCAGAGTTTATTATATTAGGAGTGAGCGCTTGCAGTGAGTTTTATTACAGTTTGTGTGAGTTTTAGTTTCTAAATACTCATGAGTGGTAGTTTGGGAATGAGAGATGACATTACAGTACTTACCACTGCAGAAGCTTACATTCAGGATCTCCATTTTCCAAATCAGGTTGCACTTATTCAATTTTCATCACTGACATTATTAAACGTTTCTATCTGAACACCCATGATTGATATGTTTATTGGCTCGTGTTTGTTTTTACGACATAACACCGTTGCATATGTTTTCAGACTTGACATACTCAACAGGAGGCTAAATGTTTTCTGTCGGAGATTAGTTTAATAACCGGGAAGAGCAGTAATAATATAATTAACACACAGTTTCTCTTTCTTCATTCCTGCTATTCGCTCCCTGCATTGTCCTGCTCTGAATTAAGTTGTGCTGTAAGTCTCACTAGAAGTAATCTTACATCTGTCATCATACCTCCCTTCAGTGTGACTGCAAAGGCAGTATCATCTCTTTCAGGGGCTCATTACCTGGGTGGACTGTTCTTGTGTCATGCTTGAGTGAAAAGTAGACATTTCATCGCAGAGTTGTCGCTTTCATCAGGCTGTGATTGCTCAAACCAAAAGCTGAAGGTATTTTAAAATTAACTGTTGACAATAACACAAGAATTCTTTTTTTTTTTTTACCTTTTGAACATAACAGACTGTCAAAGTACGCCATTGTAAAGGCAGTTATGTATAGAAATCCTTATTTCTTCCTCTCAAATACATAAGGCTGGTGGTTCTGAGCGAGCCTGCGAGACACTATCAAAGATATGATCACAGAAATAGGAAAGCTACAAGAGCTATGCAACGGTTTCATCCAACTACTCTGCGTGGCCAGAGACACAAGCGTTATTGGTGCATTTATATGGCTATTTTTATTGGCTGTCCTAGTTTTTCTCCTCTTGAGCGTGTCTTTCAAAAGTAATTCGTCTCTGAAATGATCATTACACCACCACAACATCAACACAACCTAAGAGTAGCAAGATGTGCAGATGAAGAGGGGTTTCATTGGGGTTAACCATGCTGCTGACCTTTGTGTGAACTGTGGTTTGTTGATGTTCCCCCATATTGCAGTTTTTCCTCAAGGGGAGAATCTCTAAGCAGCTTTTCCTCCACTTCAAAGGGAGAGAATGTAGGCCTGCTTTGCATAATCAGGTGGGGAACAGCTTTTTGCCAGAGAGGCAGGAATTAATTTGTGCCACCGCCAGATGTAATCATTAAAACTCTAGTCATTCACAATAACCGGGGGGGGGGGGGGGGGGTGGCGATAGAGGTTGATTTGTAGAACAGTAAAATGAGACAGATCTATACAGCATAGGATGGTCTTGAATGCCAGACACAGATTTAGGACTATTTGCACTTGTTGGCATGAAGTTAATCCTTACTTCTCATACCCTTTTATTTTACATGTACTTCACTATTTTAGTCATGTACAAAGTAAGACAACCACAGTTATTTAGGCAGCTATATACAGTATCTCACAAAAGTGAGTACACCCCTCACATTTTTAGTAAATATTTGATTATATATTTTCCTATGACAACACTGAAGAAATAACACTTTGTTACAATGTAAAACAGTGAGTGTACAGCTTGTATAACAGTTTAAATTTGCTGTCCCCTTAAAATAACACATCACACAGCCATTAATGTCTAAACCGCTGGCAACAAAAGTTTGTACACCCCAAAGTGAAAATGTCCAAATTGGGCCCAATTAACCATTATCCCTCCCCGGTGTCATGTGACTTGTCAGTGTTAAAAAGTCTCAGGTGTGAATGGGGAGCAGGTGTGTTAAATTTGGTGTTATTGCTCTCACACTTCCTCTTACTGGTCACTGGAAGTTCAACATGGCACCTCATGGAAAAGAACTCTCTAAGGATCTGAAAAAAGACCCTGAAACTGAGCTGCAGCACAGTGGCCAAGACCATACAGCGGTTCAACAGGACAGGTTCTACTCAGAACAGGCCTCGCCATGGTTGAGCAAAGAAGTTGAGTGCACGTGCTCAGCGTCATATCCAGAGGTTGTTTTGGGGAAATAGATGTATGAGTTCTGCCAGCATTGCTGCAGAGTTTAAAGGGGTGGGGGGGTCAGCCTGTCAGTGCTCAGACCATACACTGCATCAAATTGGTCTGCATGGCTGACGTCCCAGAAGAAAGCCTCTTCTAAAGATGATGCACAAGCGTGTGTGGCAGCAACCAGGTGAGGAGTACAAAGACAAATGTGTCTTGCCTACAGTCAAGCATGGTGGTGGGAGTGTCATGGTCTGGGGCTGCATGAGTGCTGCCGGCACTGGGGAGTTACAGTTAATTGAGAGAACCATGAATGCCAACATGTTCAGTTGTACATGTACATATTGAAGCAGCGTATGATCCCCTCCCCTCAGAGACTGGGCCGCAGGGCAGTATTCCAACATGACAATGACCTTAAATACACCTCCAAGATGACTACTGCCTTGCTAAAGAAGCTGAGGGTAAAGGTAATGGACTGGCCAAGCATCTCTCCAGACAGCACTGAACATTGTTGGGGCACCCTCCAATGGAAGGTGGCGGAGTGCAAGGTCTCTAACATCCACCAGCTCTGTGTTGTCGTCATGGAGGTGTGGAAGAGGATTCCAATGGCAACCTGTGAAGCTCTGGCGAACTCCTGTGTACTCACTTTTGTTGCCAGCGACAATGTCACACAGACATTAATGGCTGTGTGATTTTGAGGGGACAGCAAATTTACTGTTATACAAGTTAGCAACCAACTGGTGAAGAATAATGTTTGTGGGTTAACTTTTGGGTACAATATACAGGATACTGTATATAACATCACTGACTTGGTGTATTCATTGTTTGTGCTGCTAAAATCCAATCAGATTCAAACCACAATAATCACGCTGTCAATCTGATATTTTCCCACTTGTGAAAAATGTTTGGCACTGAATGTGCTGGACAGTTAACAAGTGGGTGTATAGATTTAGTACCTTTTGGGGCATCCATCATTCATTTCAAACGCCACCATTTGTCAATATTCCATCAGTGGAAGTGAGTAACCAGGACTGCTGCTCTTGATTGATTGTTACACTACTAATCTCTGAGGACAGAATGTCTGCAAGGAATGAATTCTTATAGCGGTCAACTCAAACGTGAGTGCACACAAAAACACACAAGTTTTGTTAATTAGGGTACAGCTTTTTAATATAAGCGTGTAGTATTACAAGGATAAGCACACACCTGCAAAGAATAAACACGATAGCCAAGAAAATCAAAAGTTGGCAATCTTGGATGCCTAAGAGAAAGAAACACATAATGGACTAGGTCTGGGCCTACCAACTGCCATACACCTGGGATACAATCTTTTAAAAATAAAAGCTGCTTAAGTCGTTATTTTGTCATTTCTAACTAGATTGGTATATGATGAATTAGCAGAAATTGTGACACATTTTTGTGTAATCTAAATGTAATGTATAACAGAAAGAAAAGGAAGGGTTTTTATTTGAGGACTTACTGGATACAGGACACAATTCCCTCTCATGTGTTTTATGGCCTGGGGGGACATCAGGTACCATCAATGTCAGCACAGACAGACAACACCAGAGGAAAATGAATGGGACAGGAGTGAAAGTGAGAGGGGGAAACAACTTCAAGGTAAAGGAGAGGAACACAGACATTTCCACCCTTTCATCTTCTGTTTGTCTGTCATACACACAGGCTCTAAATCCAAAAAGAAACTCTCGAGCAAAGAGAAGTTTCTGTTTAGAGATTTAGAAGAGAGTGATCCAGGTGTACTTCAGAGGACTCCGGGAAAACACTGTATTTTAGTTAGAGGACAGCAGAACTTGGATAAAACTTTATTTTCAAGTTTACCACTTCTTCAAAATTTGTCCAGAGTTTTAATTCAAATTGGACTCCTGGGCAAAAGGAAAAAAAAAAATCAAGTGCGCTTCTAGATTAACTGCAGTGTGGCCTGTGATAAACTATACCAGGAGGAGATGTGTTGTTGTTGGTTGTTCCTTCCGTACACCTCTGTGAGCCTCAGCAGCTGCGGGGGGTGGTTGGCATCCATAACAGCTGCACAAGAAGACAAAGCACAGGCCTTAACAGACTGAAAGCTGGGCAGATTACCAGGCCCGGACATTCATTCATCCTTTGAGAAAAAGACAGAATTGATCGGAAGGCTACAAACTAAAGCCTTGGACAGTCTTGCCACAAAATGGGATTTGAGAGAGAAGTGCCAGATCTTTTCAGTTTTAAGTATATAGACAAAAATAATTTTTTTCCCCACAGATTATATGCACAACACCAGATCAGTAAAACTGGTCATGAGTTATGCTAATTTAGGATGCGAGTTTAAACTACTGACTGCTTAAACTGTAACTACTCCAACAAAGGTTCACAATGTTTTCCACTTGTGTCTGACTACAGAAGCAGAATGCTGAACAGCAAAAGCATCTTAAAACCGTTCAGTATTACAAAAGAAAAGAAATGAGGACTAAGTATGATTTGAAATGTGGGTAGCAGAATTAGTTTTCTATTTCCACATTGTAAAAAATCTCACAACCAGCCCCAAAATAATCTTGCAGATATTTGAGGTACTGACCCCAGTGGTTTTCCTAAATAAGTCCTTAATTTATCACCAATGTTCTATGTGAAATATAGTGAATTTGTGTTTGTAAGGGAAATGTCAATTTATGCAGCCCTTTTACAGAATAAAAGATATATACATTTTTCATTCACTGAACAAGATAAATTACATATGATGTGCAAGTTTATGATCCTTCTGACATAAAAGAACCAATGGCAGACCTTCAGAGCTGTGCACTTGGACTTCAGACAGACTTTAATTTAAAAAATGAGGCCTTGAGACTTGCCTTGTATAGACAGAATTAAAATTTTTGGGCATGGGTATTACAAAGACTCAGCAATGTAAAACACATTAACAGATATTAAAGCAAAATTTGCAATTTGTTAAACTCGACCTGAACTTGGCCTTGAAAACGTGACTTGAGAGTTGACATGGACTTACCCTAAAGCCATGAAAATAGCTCTAGCAAACCAATACAGCTTTATTTGCCACCCAAAACAAAATATGATTTACTGTTAAAATGGAAAGTATGAAATGTTAAGTGAGATTTTATTGCAAAGGTAATTTGTCTAAATCAATTTTTGCCCAATATGAGATTCTGCTTCTTA